AAAATCGCAATTAATCGTGAAAACTTAGGCGATTTTGACGACATGGGCGACTACAGAATTTATTATTCCATTCATGTCTATGGAAAAGATTTGAAAAACGAATTAATGCAAAAAGAAAAAACTATTTGTTTTTTTTTCGTTTACCGTTGAATAAATTCTTCAATTACAAATGGAACCAATAGAACAAGTATAATTAAAATAAAAATTCTTCTGCCTAGAACAAAAAATTTTCTTTTTTTTTTTTACTAAGTATAAGAGTCAGTCTACATCAGCCACGACTGATTCTCACAGATGAGCTGCTCAATTGAGGTCGTCAGATTTTGATTGATTTGACACATGTAGTAGAGAGAAGAGTGTTAAGAATTTTGACGCAAGCCGTTTGGAAAAAATATTGTTCCATTGTCGAGATATTTAATTTTTCCTCTATGAAGAGATCTCATTAGGTAGTTACTCTAGTAGGGTGTGGGTAGGTGATGAAGAGAAGACCCATCCCCACACCCTCATAACTTTGTAGTAATCCACATGAGTCTGACTTATGTATGTTCCATATCACGGGAGATCGAATTCTTCCAAAGTCATGATTTTGTGGAAAGTGTCTCCTGAATAATAGAAACTGTGTAGAGAGCTGAACTTTTTTTACGAGAGTAACTACTCAATGAGGTCTCTTTATAGTCACAAATTTCAACTCCCTAACAGGATTCATTCATGACATATGCATATGCACAAAAGAACGAAAAATGGACCATTTTGCCGTGTACCTGCTCGTATTGGTTAACTCATCAATAATTCATCTTTTTTTTTCGGTAATACAGAATTATGATATCTACTTATTGTAAAAATTTCAAGTCAAATGCATGTATCCTTGATGAGGTATAGATGTCATAAAATATACTTTTTTGATGATACCACCCCCAAGAACAATTAAATATCTCGATAACGGAACAATTTTTTTTTCCGAATAGCTTGCGTCAAAATTCTTAAAACTCTTTTCTCTACTACATATTTTAAATCGAACAAAATCTAACGACCTTGATTCATAGGTGAACAAGTCAGGTTTTTTTTTGACTCAAATCAAGTCCAGTCATGAGTCGTCAAAAAAATTTCTTTAACAAGTCGAAGCTGGTCGAAAATGAATTGACTTGACTTGTCCTAGTTTGCCTCGATTGAGTAGCTTCGGTGAAAATCGGTCGTGACTTAAACGGACTGGCTCATAAATAAAAAAAAAACAGATTGAATTATTTTTGAAAGAATTTTTTAATAATCTGAAGATAATTATAGAAAGAAATGGAATTAAAATAAAAACGATTGATATTAATTTTTACCTGCATATGTAATTTGATTAGCTAATTCTGTTAATTTTGCTTGTAAACTTGGTCGTTCTTCAAATTTAAAATGATCAGGATCATCGTCATTATTTGCTTGATTGGTATTATCAGGTATAATTTCTTGTAATTTAGTTGTATCTTGATTGTTAACAGCTGCATCTAATTAACAAAAAAGAATTTTTTTTACTTAACATTATCAAAATAAACGATAAGTAAGAAGCTTTTTTTTTATTAGTGATTTAGTAGCAATTACCAAGTTAATATTAATATAGAATTAACAACATTAAAATAAAGAAAAATACCTGCAGTTGTCGATTCTAATTTTACTTGACGTTTGCCAACATCTGCATCGGTAGTTGTATCTGAATACGTATTAGGAAAAAGTTTAGAAAACATTTAAAGTTTAAAATAAAATCTATATATCATACTTTGTTTATTATTATCATTATTTTCTTCTTTGGGTGCGCCCAGTAATTTTTTTATTATTCCCATTTGACTATGTTCACCAACAGCCAAAACTAACATTTTACCATTACCTTCCATAATATGCGTACCTAAACAAATATTCAAAATAATTATTTAGTTTTTATTAATAAAAAAAAAAACAACGAATTTATTAACCCGAAAGAAGAAATGGATCTTCTGACTCATCTTTTCTAATTAAATCTATTTCTCCAGTTAATGATGATTCATCAACTTTGAGATCATTTGATTGTACAACAACACCATCAACTGGTAATAAATCTCCATATTTAATTTGACATATATCACCAACAACAATATCTTTTATTGGAATTTGGTGTACTTGACTTTCTCTAATAACATTAAATTTTTGATCAAGTTCAATTATTGATTGAAGATCACGAAATTGTCGTTCTTTTGTCCAGTCATTAAATGCTGTTACGAGAACAGCTATAGATATGGCAATAATAATTATTATACATTCAATCCATGCAACATTTGCTTCCGCTAAAAAATTAAATAAAGGAAAAGAGAATTGTTCTTGGCCTTGTTTTTTTATTTTTATTATAAATTTACTTGGTTTTCCTTCAGGTTCAAATGTGTCTCCACTTGGATAATAAAATGATAAAGCAAATAGAATGCCAGCAAATATAATAGGTCTAACAAATCTAACATCTAGTAAAGCATCAAGCACAAGACGAAGAATTGTTCTTCGTGGTTTTGGTGGAATTTTATTACGACCGAATGCAGCTATACGTGCTGATAAATCATTGTTATCACCAGATAAACCTTATAAAAGAATAAATCAATAAAAACAATCAATAAAAATCTTTTTAATTTTATTTTACCATTTATTAAATTTGTTTTGAGCTTTCGTCCAATACCATTAAGACCACCATAAGTTTCATTAAGTTCTTTAGCACCTTCATGACCTCGTGTTCGTATTAATGTTTCTAATTCTTGAACGGAAATTCCAAATGCATGACGTGCATCTTCAGATGAATCACTATTATCGTCCGTGGATTTTTTCTTTGTTGCCATCAATGTTTCTAATAAAAATCTGAAACAAAGTATCAAATGACATTTTATATCCTCACTCATAGTGCAAAATGATAGTCTTTTGTTTTTAAAAAAGTATCACAAAATTTCCAAGATGTAGATTGTTGGAATTAAATTAAAAAAGAGAGAAATATTTCATATGAATTTATTAGAGCTTTCCTATTGGGAGAAAGGTTCTATCAGGGGCGTGCACCGCTCACGCGTGGTCCGTCCGCACCATAATCGTAAGTATGACTGATAGTTGTGCGGCCGACAGGTTCTGAAAAATTTGAGTGCGGGGCGGAAGCGGCCGTCCCACGCGAACCTTTTTTCCTGCTCGCGCGGTCGCCTGTTCACGATTTAATCAAGTTATCAGTTATAATTCATTGATATTCGCATATGAAGTGGAGACCAAAGAATAATATATACTAATACTCATTTCAAAAAGAAAAATGTGAATATTTTCTAAATAACTTTTGATAGAAATTAGATAGAGAGGTGCGCTTTTCACCATTTGAAAGAGGTGATAAAACTTCATTGAATCTATATGTCAAATTTTTCTGACATATATTTCCAGGATTTTTCAACTAGTTTCCAAAAAAGAAGGCATTGCGTAATGTAAAAATTTTGGATTTTTAATTTTCATGAGTATATTAGAATGTCTAACTAAAGATCTATAAATTATGACAACTCGATGTTATTGCCTTTAGCTAATCATGAGTTATAGAGACTTTACTGTGCGACTTCAATCGATTTTTCATAAAAGGAAGGATTTTTCCTCAGTTTTTGATAAAAAAATCCATTTTTTCCACCTCTTAAAAAGCTTTGATTTTTTAAAAAATTTTACAATAAATTCTATGAAAATTCGGCAGAAAAATCTGTTATATACGATTCGATGTAGTTTCATCGCCTCTTTCCAATGGTGAAAGCCACAGCTCTCTATCTAGTTTCTAGCAAAATTTATTCAAGAAATACTCGAACTTTTTCTTTTTTGAAATGGGTATCACAATGGTGGTAGAGAAATATAACAATAAATGATACTAAAGAGACTAAAAGTTGCAGTCAACAATTTATCTATGTAGTGTGTGTAACGAAAAGACTAGCTAATATCATGTCTAATGCTATTCTTATGTTATCTTTTGAAGACGTTTAGTTTAGTCTTTTAAGAAAAACGAATGCTTTACCTTCGCTGAAAACCTTCCATTACTGTATTTTTAAAAACTAACTTAATCTGAAGAGGTTCATCCATGATATATATGAAGCAATATTTTCAAGCAAACTGTGGCAAGTGTTAATTCACTTTTGCTTTTATTTGACTTATTGAAAGTAATTATTTTCTAAAGATCTAAATAAGCAATTTTAAAAAATTAAGTCCGAGACACAAATGTGGAAAAGTTCAATGCGTTCACCACCAGGCTCATCCTCTATGATATATCGTTAATTTGTATAGTTTATTTTGATACTCGTTAATTAAATCGATAAATTATATCGCAATTCATGCCTATTATGAACTAATCGTATACTAGATCGGTCTATCTGAAAATCTAGTGAGTTGCATTGGAACATAAAAATAGTTAAGATGGAATTGGTACAATTTGCATGTATGATTATGAATTATTGTTTTATTAAATTAATAAACTTCTATAATTTTATCAATATTAATCTGCTCTTCATACTCAAGTTCTGACAACTAGGCACTATTTATTCAAAAAACATTGATGCAGTGAATCTGTGAAAAAAAAGAACAAAGTCTTTCAATGAGTTGTGACGCTCGCGCGGTGCACATTTCTGATGTGTGAAGAAAAAAAATTAGATAGGTTTTTCTAAATAAAAAAATCAGTTTTTTAGTCTTCTTGTCGACAAAATTAAAATGACCAATATGTATCTGATTATTTTCGAATGAATAATTTTAGGCCCAGCCTAACATATCGAATAAGAATAACTTAGTTTCCAAGCTATGAAACATAATCAACATTCATAAAATCTAACCGTCCGAAAGTTAAGTATTTTTTTTTTGAGTTCTAGATTATCTAAGATTTTTAGATTTTCGACCTTATAAAAGGGTTCATAAAAGCTAAAACACCCATATTATTAGTCGACTTGACATGCTCTATCCAATCATGTATAAATAAATGAAAAAAAAATCTTACTTGAAGTTCGAATGCCTTGCACTTTAGTTATATATGTATATGTATACGTGCACAGTATGGGTCTTAAATAACAATACAATAAAAATATTGAATATTACTACTCTACTTCAATCGAATGGGTTAGTTATTTTATCAAAAGTAGAAGGTTGTTAAATTGTTTTTTCATAAGAAGCACATTGACCTCAATAAGAAAAAAAAGATCTGATCTCGTGCGTATTGCGAAATAAGTTGTGTGTTAGTAGGGCATGTTGTTAGATTCAAAAGGAATTAAACTGAGAGCATCCCGCTAAAATTCGAAAAACATTCTAATTAGATAGAACATGGTTTATTTATAACAATATTTTTGTCAGCGGTACCTTTTCGAAAAGTCAATAATCATAGGTCACGACATATTTTTATCAAAGTTTTTCTTATGGAAGAAACTTTGAGCGATCGTCTACCATCAATAAAAGAAAATCAGTCTAGTTGATTTCAACAGAGTAGAGGTATTGAATATTTTTATCATATTCTATTTATGACCCATCATCTGTGTACAAGTAGTCAAAAAACAGATGTCTGAACACCTACCATTTTTTTTCTGTATTTCTTTATGTACGCAGCTAACCATAAACGATAAATTTAATATAGGGGATATGATATGAAGTGGGAACGATTTATTAGTTGAAGAAAAAATTTTTTTACCTTTTCTTGTTCCAATTCAAAATGCAAAATGCAAAAAAATACAGGCGAAATAATTTTGTTTTTGATTACCTGAATGCGTGTATGTCTACATGTAAATACGACACGCTGTCGACGTAGGTGTTGCCACGACAAAAAAAAACATTCGAGTATTAATGACTGCGCAAGCTTGAATGGCCTTGATTTTCGATCATTTAATAAGTTGCATTAAAAATAACTAAACACACTTGGAGCTGCAGCGTGAAAAGCTTTACAATCTACAGAGTGAAGGTTATTTTAATTTTGTATTTTTTGTTTTCAAAATAAGCAAAAATCTGTGCAATCAATTTTCAATACTGCGAAGTGTAATCACACAGAATTTCACTTTTTTTTTGAAAACAAAAAAGTACACAATTAAAATAAACTTCACTCTGTAGATTGTAAAGCTTTTCACGTGGCATCTCCTAGTGTGTTTAGTTTTTTCAATGCAATGTGTTAAATGATTAAACAAATCAAGGCCATTCAAACTGGTGCACTCATTAATACTCGAATGCTTTTTTTTCATGGTAACACCTATGTCGGTAGCATGTCGTATTTACATGTAGACATACATGCACGTATACAGGTAATCAAAAAAAAATCATTTCATTTATGTTTTTTCGCATTTTTCAATTTACATTGGAACAAGAAAAGGTAAAAAAAAATTTTCTCCAATTAGTAAGTCCTTCTCATTTCATACCATATTTCTTATACTAAATTAATAATTTCGACCATTATTTTAAATTTTGAGAAATTTTCTCATATGTCGCTTATGGTTACTGCGTACATAAAGGAATACGGGAGAAATGGTAAGTAGCTGGGTGTTAGAGCCTTGCGAAGTCGCTCTTTTTTTAACTCCGACTCCGAAGAACTCTGAAATTTTTTTTCTCATAAATTAGCGCCAGCTTACCTGTGCAATAATGTTATGTATTTCAGAGGTGCCTCCTCCTGTTTTTCGGCCATTTCTGGTTCTTAAAGAGAGTTCAAACAATGCGAACGAATTTTTCACTATGCATAGAACACCTAAAATAATGAGATAACTGTTCCAGCACAAAAATTTTAAACAAGATTTTTGCATTTTTTCCTGGAAAACTGTGGCTTTCCAAGGGATCAGGTCGGGCTCGGTTACGACCTTCGTCTAATTTTGTTCGATTCAGAGAAAAATTTCTCTCGAGAGGGTGTGGGTGTGGGTGTATTCTCTGAAACAAGTGGCATCCACACCCACCTGTTTATGAAATAATGCTAGATTCTAAATGACTTTATTTTTAATTAGAAAGCAGATACATACAATAGTCTCGCGTATTCTTATCGCGATATTTGAAAAGTCTATTTGATTAATCGAGTTGTATTCCAAGTTCTATCGCAAGTCGTTCAATATTCAATTGCATCTTCTCTAGATTTTCATGCTGGGAAGGCAAGCATACTCTGAAGATTACTAATGCTTGTTGATAGTAATTTAGTGCCAATATAGGTTTATGAAGAATTTCGTAAATCTCACCGATGGTTGATAAACTATTGCCAATATCTTCATGATATGGTGGTAGAACTTTGAGACGCATTAAGAAACAATTCTGTTCATATATACGAGAGAGTTCATGTTGTCCTCTTCTTCTGTGTACTACTGACAACCACTTAAATACATTAATGATAGACAGACTTTTTGAAGATACACTAGCTTCTTCAATTAATAACCATCGTTTTAAATTTTCAATAGCCAGATCGAACTGGAACATCTGATTCAAGTTGGCTACGATCCAGGATAGGCAAAGACCAATTTCACTATGATCATTGGGATAGTGTTCTTCCAATATGGTTAATGCTAGTTGACAATAATCGAGAGATTTATCATATTGTGCTTGTTGAAATAAAATAACAGAGAGTTCCTTGAGATTGATAGCAATTTGGAATTGATCACTAGGCGAGTTACTTTTATAAATTGCCAATACTTGTTGTTGAAAATCGATAGCTTCACTATATTTTTCTTGCTTTTTTAAAGTTTTAATTATGTTGTTTAGACAAGAAACAATATTCAAATAATTGGATGAGTCTTGTTTGTAAAATGTCAATGCTCGATAACAAAAATTAGAAGTTTCATCATCTTTTCTTTGTTTATACAGGATACCACCTATATAGGTATAAGTGTTTGCGACTTCAGTATAATTCAATGAACACAGTTTTTCTCGAATAGCTAACGAACATTGATAGAACTCAATCGCTTCATTATATTTTTCTTGTTCACATAATATGCTGCCGATGTTGTTCATAGAAAAAGAAACAGATAAATGATCAATTGGAGTGTGATTTTCAATAATATCGAGTGCTTGCTGATGAAAATTAATAGTCTCATTATATTTTCCTTGCTCACATAGAATGTTACCGATGTTACGGATAATCGAAGCCATTGACGCAGCACTGGAAGGATAATAATAGCTCTTCCGCATCTCTAACGCTCGTTGATAATAGCGTAGAGCTTCGTCATATTTCGATTGACTAAAGTGTATATTACAAATGTAATTGAGTGTGCGGGCGATTTTTGAATAATTATATGGAGGGTGTGGGTGTGTGGGGTGTGAGTGTGGGTGGGTGTGGGTGTGTGGGGTGTGGGTGGGTGTGGGGTGTGTGGGTGTGGGTGTGGGTGTGGGTGTGGGTATGGGTGTGGGTGTGGGTGTGGGTTGTAATCTTCTATTCTCTCATTCACCCCATACCCACACCACACCCACACCCACACCTACACCCACACCCACATCCACACCCACACCCACACCCACACCCACACCGACACCCACACCCACACCCAGACCTATACCCACACCCAGCCACACCCACACCCACCCACACCCCACCCCACCCCACCCTCACTATACTCACAGACAATCATAAAATGATTCCAGCGCATAGTTCTTCTCAACTGAGTAACGATAATATTGATGGTTTTAGATTGTGAAGCATGATCTAAAACAAATCTTAAAGTACATTAGCATGATAGTTGCCTATTAGTTTTCCTTCACACTTACTGCAATGTATTGCGATTAATATCTTGCATTAATTCACATTTTAATCCTGCAGGAGCTCTACTAACAGTTTTCTGCCCATAGACTGGAGTATTGGCAAAAATTAGTTAAAATAATTTTTTCTGATGACTTCTGAATAATTAACGAAAGAATCAATCATTTTGATTAAAAATTCTTTGTTCAGTTTTTCTGCCATCACTTCATTCTATCATACAACAAAACTATCGTCACTTTCTACAGAAGACCTATAGTTCTGAATCTTACATGAAACTATAATAAATTAAGAAAAATCAATTCATCAGAACATTGAATACCATATTGAAATACATCAAGTAAATTTAATGTATGCCTAATTAATAAAAATAAAATATTCATTGAAAAAACTTATCCGTCAACATTATACCAATGTTCATAAAGTAAATCAATATATTGTTCAGTTGACAATGGTCGATGAAGTGCTGTTACAAGTAATATAAGAGCTTATCGATCATGTACAATAAGTAATCAGGAAGATCAAATTCTTTTATAATGTCTTTCCGATTTGCAGTTGGTACCTATAAAGATAAGTTTTTTTTTGTTAAATGTATACCAAGTCATTTATTGCTATTACAAATGTATCAACAGTCCATGTTTGTGATGAATTATTATTATTATTTTCTAGCTCTATTCAGTTCTAAATGATCTAAAAACAAATATCTTTTCTTTTTTCATTTACATAAATCAATGTATTTTTAGTAAGATCTGAATGAGTTTTAATCATAGATGAAAGTATTCGTGCAATAGTTGATAGTTTTAATTCCTATAAACCAAAATGAACTCATGCATTTCGACAATATTCCATACATCTGCTACCGAAAAAAATAAATAATACTTTTTTTTTGTACGAATAAAATCTAGTTATTTCTTCATACTACGGACGATGGATAAAGTATACGACGAAGAATTAATAAATTACTATTGCCTATTCGTTCAATAGGATATTTAAAAAAAAACTTTTCATGATAAATTGAGCAATTACTTGAATATGTTCATTAAAATTAGAAAAATCAAAAATAACATCACTTTCTGATCTATATTACCAATAATAATATATACGAGCGAATTCAATCGTTAGAGACTTGAAACAAAAAACAAACAGCTCCATGTGTTCGTTCATCTAAAATTTTTATATTTAATTTAAATATTTACCTCATTCTGATAATAATTATTATTTGGTATGAACAGTTGAATAATAAGTATCTTCAATATCATAACGATGATGATGATATTTTTTTGATTTATATTTGTTATGTTTAAATATATAATACTTTCAAATGAAGATCAATGAGTCATTGAGGTAAATAATAACATAAAATCATGAGATCGTTTACTATTTAATTGAGATGTGCATTTTTGAAAAAACATATCTTAATATCATTATAATCATTATAAATCTAAAATGAAGACAAATAGTTTTCATATTCAAAATGTTGACTTACGTTAAAATTTTTGTTTGTATCCATCAGAATTATTTGTCTTGGCAATCATTATAAAAATGAATAAACTTTCATATTTATCATTCTTTATTAAATATGCCATGATTTTGTATGTGCGTGTATGTTCGTCTCTTTTGTACTCACAACCAACCATGTGAACCATCTCATTGTTTTTTTTTCTTTCATTCTTTCTTTCTCGTGCTCTGATAAAACAAGACAGCAGAACATGTGAGACCGAGAAAAGAAAAAAGAAATAGGTCAAGAGACGAATTATCTTTTTTCCTTTTCTCGTCCATAAGTCAACGTTCATGTTATCATTGATGATCGATGATAACAGGGTGTGGGCGGGTGTGGGTGTGGGTGTGGATGTGGGTGTGGGTGGGTGTGGGGTGTAGGTGTGGGTGTGGGTGTGGATGTGGATGGAAAGAAGAGCAAGACCTACACGTGAGTAATTATTTCTTTTTTTTTTTGAGATGAGAATAGATAGAGTTAGAGTGAGTATCAGCGCAGTGAGTGTTAGTGGGAGGCGAGGGTGAGTTCTGTCCGTTGAAGGTTAGGGTTTCGTCTTTTATGAAGGACTTCCGGGTAGTCCCTAAAAGCCCGGCCAGGAACTGTCTTGGTGTCCGTGGCACACGACCGGGCCCCCAGACTCATTGACATATTTCTCGAGTGGGAGAGATATGAATGATTTGAGTCTGTCCCGTGCGTGCATGAGCGTTACGCTCGCCACGGCTTCACCAGGATGGTTCCTGGTCGCCCGCGCGCGAATAGAATAGACATTCATTTCATGAATTCAATGCGATTTATTTGAAAGGAAAGGAAAGAAAAAAAAAATAATCCATCGTTTTGAGTTTATTCAATTGAAAATCGTTGAACACGATCATTCCCCCAATCGACGACATAGAGATTGCCATGTCGATCGAAGGACAAACCCTCGAGATAGTTGAACTGATTTGCTCCTTCTCCTTTACCATTTCCACCCACAATGACAGTGCCCTGTTTCGCTTCTTTAGGCCAACGCATCACTCGATTATTCCACGAGTCTGCCACATAGATGGTACCCAATGTATCGACGAATAGTCCTTGAGGATACGACAATTGTGTCAGAGCATTCCCTTGTCCTTGACCTCCAGCGACAACAATTCCTTCTTTTGCACCTTTATTCCATTTCATTACACGATGATTGTCACGGTCTGACACGTAAACAGTCTGTTCTTGATCGACAAAGGTGTAGTACGGAGAGTTGAGTTGATTGAAACCAGCACTTTCGCCATTGCCACCAGCCACAATAGTTCCATTCTTGTCTCCTATTTGATATCGTCTTACTTCATGTTTGTTGGTGTCAGCGATGTAGAGATATCTCTGACCATCCATGGCCAATCCCCAACAAGTGATGTTGTTGATGAGGATTTCTCCTTGAGTTGTACCACTACGACGAGACCATCGTACAACTCGTCGATTATTTCGATCACAAACAATAAGACTATCCGTCTCTTTGTCGATCAACACATCGGCTGGCCAATTCAATTGATCCAATCGATTTCCTTGGCTATTGCCACCAGCTACTACTTGTCCATTCGTATCACCCATCTTCCATTGGATGATACGATTATTGTAGTAGTCAGCGATGACCATCGTTCGATCATCATCAACGAAGAGACCTTGAGGCCTGTTGAGTTGATTGGTGGCATTGCCACCTCCATGACCTCCAGCAACGGTCACTCCACTCTGATTCCATCGGGCATTGGCTGGAATATTAGGAATCACTACAATGAACAAAAAAGAAAAGGAACCGTCATTGTCGAAGAGATTCCCCCTCTCTCGCATGGGAAAGAGCTATAAAGGAGACATACGTCTTCTTGGAAGAGAATTAGGTAAAACTTTCGAGAATATTCTTTTCGGAGAGAAAAATTCAGAAGTCTTTTCCTAGTTTCCCATGAAAAAAAAGGATTTCGTAAAGATTCTTACATCTATGTTACTTCTATTTCTTACCAAGACCTTTTTGACCCGAAAAACTATACCATGAGATTGCTGTAAGGAGATTTTTTCGAGAAAGAACATTGCTAATTCCATGCTAGCTGTCGATAGAAAAATATGGAGATCTGGAGATATTATTCAAAATTGCGAAAATTCAGAATCTTATGGAATAAAATAATGAACTATGTGAAAATCTTAAACTAAGAAAATCCTGAGAAGATTCAAGCACATCTTTGGAATGTGATACTTTCTACAATTGAGTTTTATATGTAATTTAGAAATCGTAGTTCTGAAGTGAATAGTTAGAGAAAGTTCTACAAAAGCTTCAAACCATTGCATTAGAATCTTAGAAGGGAAGATTCTCAAATGCTAGCCTCAGTTTTTGAATTGAATATATGAGCGAAGAGCACGTCAATTGTACCGTTGGGTTTCGAAAAGAAAGATTCCTATAAGTCGAACAGTAGTGTCCGAATTCCGTGAATTCCGAACTCTTGAGGAATTCTTAAACTCTAATATTATTCAATACGTACGAGCACTAAGGAACTACAGCACAACGTAGCGTAAAGAAATTCAAGGATCCCAAAGAATCCAAGGAATTTGAGAATCCCGAGGAATTCCTGGATCCCAAGGAAGCCAAGGAATTCAAGGCTCCCAATGATCCCAAGGAACTTAAGAGAGGGTCCGTGAGAGGACCACCCTAGGTCGCCGGGGAAAAAAATTTTTTTTTTCGATTTTATTTTCTTAAATGATAGGTCTAGATAAACTATAGTTAAATCCAAAATATTAGCTCATTTGGTTTTACCTATGAAAAATGCGAGCTAAAACAAGTTTAAGGGGGTCAAAATTGATCCTAAAAGTCGCTGGAAATGGGTGTGCTCAGTATTTTGACATTTTCTCATGAATGGTTTGACCGTTTGAGATCGGGCACGCATCATTAGATAGGAAACAGTATAGGCTACACATTTATCCTATTTCGATGATTCATATCTGGGATGAAAGAAACGCTATAGATCAAAAATCTTCAAAATTTCAAGAAATCCTACACTCTGAGTTAGCAGTATTTTGGGCTTTTCTTGAGTGGTGCAAGCGTGCCCAAACTTCTTTTTTTGTCAGACATCGATCTTGCCAAGATACATCTTTTGACATTAAATTGTCAAGATAAAAAAACTCGAGGGTCAAGTTAGCATGGATCACACTGTCCCCTACCCTACCTAGTCACTATTGATCCTACCTCACAAAGACATGCAATTTCTATAGAAATCACCACAATGGACTTCAGATTCGTGTTCAGCTTGGAAAACTGACTTAGATAGGATATTTTGAATTGATTTCTTACTTGTACCAAGTGTGTAAATGACCATGGGTCCACTTCATGGATATATGATACATATATGCAACGGTGTTTTGATAATAATTCAACAATAATAATAGCTGTCGAGTTCGAATTTTTAGCATTCGATAGCTCTTTTCGAAAGCTACAAAACTATATATTTTTCAAGCTTATAACTCTTGATCACCTGAGCCATATCGAGACACATTTCTCTTGAAACACAATTTGATGCATATTTGTCCTCCATTTAGTCCCTTTTCCGTTACAAAACAACAAATAGAATCAAAACCAATATCGTATTCGGAATCAGCGTTAAAAACTGAGTCGATCCATGTATGTTTTAAAGATTTCTGAGAAACATTTTTTTCCTATGAAAAAATGATCCTGTACTCCCCCTCAGGGTCCATCAAAAACTGATTTCTCTCAAAATGGTGTTTTTGTCGTTTAGAATTTTTGCCATTTTAGTTTCTTTGACATTAGAGATGCTCAGCTATTTCATTCCACACGATAAATGGCATCTTTGAGAGAAATCATTTTTTCCTGAACCCTGAGGGGGAGTACAGGGCCATTTTTTTATAGAAAAAAACATTTTCTCAAAAAGACTTAAAACATACGTGAGTCGACTCAGTTTTTAACGCTGATTCCGAATATGACATTGGTTTTGATTCAATCTGTTGTTTTGTAACAGAAAACGGGCTAAACAGGGGACAAAAATGCATAAAGGAGGGGGGTCAATTTCTACAGAAATCGGCCCAATTAAGTTTTAACTATTTACTCGTGTAGAAAAGAAGGAAATCATGATAGAAAGTATATCTGATAGTTTTTAATGATTTTGGTAGATGTTTCCAAGTCCAGAAGTCGATTACTGTTTCGATTTTTTAGGGGATCTTTTGACTGTCAAGTGTTACATATGTTACTTGATGTATGTACTTATTACTCAATGCAAACCAGGTGAATTATATACCAGTAGATAGGCCGTGAGAAATACTTCAAAATCCTATATGACAGTCCTATATTAAAACTGAAGAAAAAATCATTTCTTGCCAAAGTATTTGTTGAATATCACTAAATTAGTACGTTAGTATTAGGTATAAACCACCCTGTGCACTGAATTCAAGTTTGCTCACTCTGCTTTTTATGCCATTCGATAGAGCTTTTCTAGGGCTACAAAATCATGTACGATTGGTTTGGAAAAAAAGCTGCGAACATATCTCAAAACGAGATTATTTTGTATGAGTCAGCAAAACTACCACTTTTGAGCCAGTGTTTAGCGATTTTCTTCGTAGTAACTAGGCTTTTAGACATAACCAATATCATATTTGAAATCAGCGTTATAAATGGCGTCGATCTGTATAGGTTTTAAACCTCCACAATGACTTTCATTTTTTATCAAAATGACAGCCCTACTCCCCCTCAGGGCTGACTTCGAAAACTAGCTGAAAAATGAAAGTCATTGTGGAGGTTTAAAACCTATACAGATCGACGCCATTTATAACGCTGATTTCAAATATGATATTGGTTATGTCTAAAAGTCTAGTTACTACGAAGAAAATCGCTAAACACTGGCTCAAAAGTGGTAGTTTTGCTGACTCATACAAAATAATCTCGTTTTGAGATATGTTCGCAGCTTTTTTTCCAAACCAATCGTACATGATTTTGTAGCCCTAGAAAAGCTCTATCGAATGGCATAAAAAGCAGAGTGAGCAAACTTGAATTCAGTGCATAGGGTGGTTTATACCTAATACTAACGTACTAATTTAGTGATATTCAACAAATACTTTGGCAAGAAATGATTTTTTCTTCAGTTTTAATATAGGACTGTCATATAGGATTTTGAAGTATTTCTCACGGCCTATCTACTGGTATATAATTCACCTGGTTTGCATTGAGTAATAATTACATACATCAAGTAACATATGTAACACTTGACAGTCAAAAGATCCCCTAAAAAATCGAAACAGTAATCGACTTCTGGACTTGGAAACATCTACCAAAATCATTAAAAACTATCAGATATACTTTCTATCATGATTTCCTTCTTTTCTACACGAGTAAATAGTTAAAACTTAATTGGGCCGATTTCTGTAGAAATTGACCCCCCTCCTTTATGCATTTTTGTCCCCTGTTTAGCCCGTTTTCTGTTACAAAACAACAGATTGAATCAAAACCAATGTCATATTCGGAATCAGCGTTAAAAACTGAGTCGACTCACGTATGTTTTAAGTCTTTTTGAGAAAATGTTTTTTTCTATAAAAAAATGGCCCTGTACTCCCCCTCAGGGTTCAGGAAAAAATGATTTCTCTCAAAGATGCCATTTATCGTGTGGAATGAAATAGCTGAGCATCTCTAATGTCAAAGAAACTAAAATGGCAAAAATTCTAAACGACAAAAACACCATTTTGAGAGAAATCAGTTTTTGATGGACCCTGAGGGGGAGTACAGGATCATTTTTTCATAGGAAAAAAATGTTTCTCAGAAATCTTTAAAACATACATGGATCGACTCAGTTTTTAACGCTGATTCCGAATACGATATTGGTTTTGATTCTATTTGTTGTTTTGTAACGGAAAAGGGACTAAATGGAGGACAAATATGCATCAAATTGTGTTTCAAGAGAAATGTGTCTCGATATGGCTCAGGTGATCAAGAGTTATAAGCTTGAAAAATATATAGTTTTGTAGCTTTCGAAAAGAGCTATCGAATGCTAAAAATTCGAACTCGACAGCTATTATTATTGTTGAATTATTATCAAAACACCGTTGCATATATGTATCATATATCCATGAAGTGGACCCATGGTCATTTACACACTTGGTACAAGTAAGAAATCAATTCAAAATATCCTATCTAAGTCAGTTTTCCAAGCTGAACACGAATCTGAAGTCCATTGTGGTGATTTCTATAGAAATTGCATGTCTTTGTGAGGTAGGATCAATGATGACTAGGTAGAGTAGGGGACAGTGTGGTCCGTGCTAACTTGACCCTCAAGTTTTTTTATCTTGACAATTTAATGTCAAAAGATGTATCTTGGCAAGATCGATGTCTGACAAAAAAAAGAAGTTTGGGCACGCTTGCACCACTCAAGAAAAGCCCAAAATACTGCTAACTCAGAGTGTAGGATTTCTTGAAATTTTGAAGATTTTTGATCTATAGCGTTTCTTTCATCCCAGATATGAATCATCGAAATAGGATAAATGTGTAGCCTATACTGTTTCCTATCTAATGATGCGTGCCCGATCTCAAACGGTCAAACCATTCATGAGAAAATGTCCAAATACTGAGC